TGTCCGGGGGGGGGGGAACTGGGTTCTCACACCCCGTTCATCACCGAGGCCTCTCTGAGCATCCGGATCAGAACCGCCGGGGGTGTGGTGGGTGGGTTGGGTCTCAGGGGCCGGGTGTCTGGTTTCCTCGCTGTTATAGGAACTGGCCGGCGGGTGCGAGTTGGGGAGACGTTCGGAGCTTTCCTTGGATCTCTGGTGCGGGGATCGCGTCCCGGGACGGTCTCCGCTGCACAGGGAAATGAGACCCAGTCCGGGGCTCGAGTGGGGGGCGTCCAGCCCTGGAGTGTGCCTTCCAACCACCCCGATGTTTAATGAACAAAGTTATCCAAAGGCGGCTGTCGGGCCCGCCACGCCGGGCAGCGCTGGGAGCGGGCTGAGCGCCAGGTGGGTGTGTCAGATTTTTGGTTCTTTGGGATCCTCCGGTTTGTCAAAGTTTGCTCTGGCCTGCGCAGCTCGGGGGGCATTGATGCCAATGGGGCAGGGCCGGTCTACCCCAGCGAGGGATCTGGTGTCTATCCGAGCCACTCTGGCGTTCGGGGCACGCAAGGAACCGCTGCTCTGCCAGGTGCGGGTGATGACTGGGGCTGAGACCCGGTGGCTGGAACGTCTCTGCTGGGCACTGGCTGTGGGCCAGCAGCCGGTTGGGTATCAATCCAGAAACTTGGTTCTCCTCTTGCGCTGCCCCCTCTTGGCCAGGGCAGGAACTGCTCCCTGCCTTGCTCAGCCTGGCAGCCAGCAACAGGGATTCCCCAGCTCGGGCTGGCACGCGCAGAAATCCTCCCCCTCTTCTCCCGGCTGGCACCGTCGCTGCCCACGGGCTGCTCCGCCGTCCGTCTCCGTGCCGAGCCCCCACATGCTCGGCACAGGGCTGGGAGATATTTCCTCGGTGCCCGGTTCTTCCGCCCTTCCGTGCTGGGAGGTTGGCACGGGGGCGCTCCCGGTCCGCAGTGCTCCCCTGGGTTGCTGTGTCAGTGCTACGGCTGGACATTTATCCCCCTGGGCACAGCTCCCTCC